TAAAACACCTTATCTTATCACACGTAATCATATACTGCTGATGAAGTCCCCAGTAAGAGGACGAAACGTACAACTAATTCAAAATAAATTGTTCATCAGATTTATTAACCGTATATAATTCCCTTTGAGATTTATATAATTAATATATTTTTTGGACAAGAATATTGATAATTAAATTATAATAGAATTTATTCGCGATAATTTGATTTCATTGAAGAAGAAATTGTCTTTTACACATATGATATCAACAAATTCAATACAAATAACGTTATAACGTTTAAAACAAATGATCCTAATTTCCAATCTTAATTTATTTTCTAATTTGCATTGATTCCTATATCATATTGTTTCAAATCGATGTAAAATATATTCCTGATTTGAATGAGATATCCTTTTTCCTCGTAAAAGGTTCAATTTTGTACGAGGTCAGGATCATCTTCTTCCCGCGCGCGCCAGTTTAACCCATCTTCGAAGACTAAAAGAGGAACACCAGGCAAAGTATAGGGGTAGGGGGTTGGTTGAAGTGGGTGTAGGGGGTGGTATAGGGTGTGGGGGTGATGTTGGGTGTGAGAGTGGGTGGTGTAGGAGGAAAGAGGATAGTTAGGCGAGGCTGCAAGTAACGTTGCAGTTAGATAGGTGAGGACCGGTAGAAGGGGACGAGCGCAACGATTGGTCCAGAGCGAGGGGGTGGTGCGGGATGCATGAATCGTGACGTCACGCGTCGACTGCTTTGAAATCAAGCAGAGTCAGTCGCGCGGCGAACTTCGTGGCGTGTGTTTGTCTGTTAGTTTGTGCCTTATTTTTATCTCTCTCTCTCTCTCTCTCTCTTGCATTCTCTCTTGCATTCTCTCTTTCTCTGTCATTCAATGTTTGTCTATATTTTATAATTCATTTAATTATCTCATCTTCATTGATTTATCTATTTTTAATTTGTTTTTTCTTCTCTCTCTCTCTCTCTCTCTCTCTTTCTATACATCTATCAATCTTTTTTGTTTGCTTTTATATATTTCTTTTTTTTATCTCGTTCTTTTGCTCTCGTGTTTTTTTAGCTCCGACTTAGTGTTTTTAAGCTCGACCACATTCGAACGAACGAAATCGTAGAAGAATCTTCCTACTCTTTTAACATATTCTCTCTCTTTCTCTCTCTTCTCACACCGTTGGATTACTCCAATTTTCTTTCGGTAAAGGGAGAGAGGATATATCTTTTATATACGGATTCTCTCAAATATTTTTCTCTCCTATCGTTTTATATTTTTTTTTTTTTTTTTTTTTCTTTTTTTTTTTTTTCCGTTCGGGATTTTTTTTTTTTTTTTTTTTTTTTTTTTTTTTTTGGCTTCTCGACGAGAAGCGCGAAAAAATCGTCCGTGGAACTTGGTTCGGCCTCTTGGTAAAAGTTTTTCACGGTGAGGGGACGGCAAAGAGGANACCGTTGGATTACTCCAATTTTCTTTCGGTAAAGGGAGAGAGGATATATCTTTTATATACGGATTCTCTCAAATATTTTTCTCTCCTATCGTTTTTTTTTTTTTTTTTGGTTTTTTTTTTCTTCCGTTCGGGATTTTTTTATTTTTTTTTTTTGTATTTTTATCGTTGGCTTCTCGACGAGAAGCGCGAAAAAATCGTCCGTGGAACTTGGTTCGGCCTCTTGGTAAAAGTTTTTCACGGTGAGGGGACGGCAAAGAGGAGTTTGGGGAGGGAATAGAAGAGGAAGAGGAAGAAGAAAAAAAAAGTAGGAAAACCACGTGACCGGGGAGTCGAAGAACAACGTGAACAAATCCTCAGAGTGAGATAAAGAGAGAGAGAAAAAGAGAGAATAAGAGAGAGAGAGAGAGAGAGAGAGAGCTTCGTATTCTTCGAACGACGAGAAGAGCTTACCCGCTTGCAAGAAAGATTAGAGAGAGAAAAGAAAAAAGTTACTAGTGTGATCAAAGTAAAAAGAGGAGAACGATCGATCAATAAAAAAAAAAGAAATAAATATCGGATCAAATAATCGCGGTCGCGAAAAAACTTGGACCTACGTGTTCAGTGCATTTTATAGTTGATTGTTATTGTTGCAGTTATTGGGGGTTGGTTTGTTGGTTTATACACGTACGTGGGTGTTTATTTAGAAAAAAAAAAAAAAATAAGAAAAAACAACGATAGTAGTGTGTTGCACGATGACGTTGGAAAAGTATAATAACGGAGACAGCAGTGATTTCGGTGACACGATCATCATCGATTATCTGTGATTGTGATTCAATAAAAATCCCTATACTAATGCATTAGGAAGGATTAATATCAAAAGAAGGAATATATATAACACATACAGAGTGTTTATATTTACTATAATATATATATAAACATATTAAAATCTAAGCTTGCATCTTTCGTCACTTTTGTTAAGTGTCTGTGCGTGCGTGCGTGCGTTCGTGTGTGTCCTTTTTTTTTTATTTTATTCAACACTTCTCTCTTCATGTCATTATTATTATTATATTAAAGTAGAAGGATTATTTCGCGTTTATAAAATATCATAAACGACGTTGATTATTACAAAATTTCATTTCAACGAGAAAGATTTCGTAATATAATCAAAGGTTGGAAGAGAGATAAATCGAAATGGGAGTGGTACTGATGCTGCTGCTGTTGCTGGTGCGCGGATTCATTCGAGGTTAACCGATTACCCTGTACCTTCTCGCGCCTGACTGCTACTCTCGAGTGACCCTATCTCGAAGGGTAATTAGTCGTTAGAGGTGGACGAGAAGGGTTGTTAAATATATATATATATATATACACATATATATATACTAGTTTTACATCGTCACATGTCTTTATTCACCGTCATGCTGACCACCACGTTGTTGTTGTTACTCTTCCTCCTGCATGGACCAACACTCGTCCTAACAGATAACTTGGGTAAGCCTTTTTTTTTCTTAATCATTCAATATTTTTTCTCTCAATACAGATTTTTATTATATATATATATATATACGGATAGTTTTTATTCGACTTCAAAGATGCTCGTAGATTATATTTATTTTTTTGTATTAATACTACAAAAAACTTGTATCGAGAAAGGATTGAAATTGTATCGAATGTCATTTTTCATAGGATCATCGATTGGTTCGTTCATTTTTCTCATATTATTTTCTCTCTTATCGTTAAAATCCTGCGATAAACATTTATTTGGAATTTAAAGTGACGTTTTAAAAATTCCGTTCGGGTTGTTGTTTTATTTTTCTATCGACAAGCAGTACGTCAAATAATGTTAAATATTGTTTTAAAAGTATATATATAAACAATGTATGTCTGCATTTAAAACGTCAACTTCCGTTTTTATTTCTTATGAATGAGTTCGCGTACGATGTGGAAAAGAAATTAAAAAAAGGGCGGTTAGGTTGAGAATGAAGTATAAAAATGCACGTGACGACAAATGACTAAATAATATATACTAGACAATTGAGAATTATTATCGATTGTAAAATATTGTTCCAATTATTTTGTTTGCTTCGTTTGTCCTATCCGTTCTTTTATATTATAGAAAAAGGAATTAGTATGGGTTTGGGGGGTGGGAGTGGGGTGAAGCCATAAAAAGAAGCTTATTTTTTTTTATTAGTCCGTGCTTTCGTTCGATCGGAAAAGGAAAACAATGAAACGCTAGTAGAAGATGATGCACAAGGAACGTATTACATATACATACGTAAAAGGAGAGGGATCGTAAACAAACGTTGATGGAAAATATCGTCGCTTACAACGAGTTGCTTTTCTATAAAAAAGCAGCAGCAGCAGGAAGAAGATGCTTTTTGATCGAACAAAGGCTTCTACGATCGTTGTAGTTACACAAGCGAGATCGACTTTTCTCAAACGAGTATTGGATGAATTTCTCTGCATCATATAATATGTGTGTTTGTTTGTATTGGTTAGTATGCATTGTGCATACGTATGTCGGATGACATTTCTCTCAAATCTCGTGGAAAACTAGTCGGAGAAAATTGATTTTATTTATTCCTCTATAGTAGAACTAAGAAAATGCATCTTAATCTTCTTCTTTTTGAAAACGTGTTAACATAATGATCTCAAATGAAAAATCATCAATCGTGTTTGTGATAAACTGCATTATGATTTCCAACGGGTTTTTATTTTTTTTTTTTCGATGACTTTTCTTTTTCTTGTTGAACCGTAAAAATGTCGTACCATTTCAACGTTGTATACTTTTTCCTGCTATTGAAGAAGTACAAATCGTCGCCGTCTACTTCTTCTTTTACTTTAACTTTTTCTTTTTATTTTTCTTTTTAGTTTTCTTCTTCGTTTTCTTCGTCATCGTCGTTGTCGTCAACATCTATGTCAACGTTGTGATTCTTTCTTTAGCTTAGAACGAGACGAAAATCTTTGCGAAGCTTCTTTTAGTACCTAACGATATCGGGGTTTATGTTAGAACCGTTGAAAAGAAAATAAAAAAGATAGAAAAAAAAAAAAAAGAAAAAAAAAAAAAAAAGCGCGTATACATTTTTTCCGACGAATGAAGAAAATTGACGAAGAGAAAATCGATATACGATATTATTATGTATTTGTATGCATTTACAAGTAACAACGTTTCTAAATCTATTGGGTTTGTTCTTTGAAACGTTGTTTGAACAATTGTTTAAATGTTTCTCAATATAATTTGTAATGTTCGATATCCAACGTGTGATGCAATTGGATAAAACGTATCGTTTAATGTCCTGAGATTAGAATAACTATTTGTTTTAACACTGAAAACTTATCAACAATTTACATAGAATTTTTCTTTTTCTTATCATAAACTAATCAAATGACCGATGTTTAATTAATATTATATTTCATTGCAAATTTAAACCTATCAATAATTTATCTATATGCGTATTTATTTATATCTATAACTAATCAAATGACCGATGTTTAATTAAAGTTACATTTGATTGCAATTGAATACAGCTAATAATACATTTTGGATTTTAGTATAATATAATAAATGAATTAAATGTTACAGATAAAAGAAATGAATAACATCTTAATGTTAACATTACAATTTCAAATAGAAAATCAATTGTGGATGCGTTTAATGTTAAAATATAATATAATACGGTTGCTGTTACTGTTACGGTATTTTCACAAACTCGCAAAGAACATTCCTACGTTAAATTTTCGAAATATTTCATACAAATTAATTACTTTATACGTTTTTCTTTAAAAATAGTAACTATTATTTCACGAGCTATTTTGCAATAAAAATTTCTAACAGTTTGTATATAAGAAAAAACGCTAATATAATATATTTATGCAATTATTGATAGGTGTAAGAAAAAAATTCATGCGATATCAGAAAAATATAATATTTTCCGTAGTGCCAATCATTTTTCTTTTTTTTCTTTTTTTTTTTCTTTTTTTTGTAACATATACCAGTATTGTTCTAGCATCGTTTATTTATGTCGTTACACTGTCATAGTCACGTTATGCTGTTATAGAGATACAATCGAAAGAATAGCATTTTTCTTTCCATAAAAAGTTTCTACTACGTCTCTCTATTTTATGCGACAAAGTAAGTCGAGATATCGAATTTAAATTTTCTTCTCTCTCTCTCTCTCTCTCTCTCTCTCTCTCTCTCTCACGCGCGCGAGTCGTTTATATTTCACGGATAAAATTTACTTTTGAAATTTCACCAGAGAGAGACGCGCGTCTTATATATATATATATATCGTTTTTTGTTATTTTTATTTTAATTTTAATTAACTGTATACGTTTCATAGCTAATGAATCTTGTTAGAGAATAAATACGAACTCTTAATCCTCTGTATAACGTCAGGAAAGAAACTTCTAAGTCATTTTACGTCAGAAATGTATCACGGTTAGTTTCATATCTTGAAAGTTAATGTTTGCTAAAAGTGTAAGTTATATTTTACTGGTATTACTTAATAAGATATAACTTTGTCTTTGCCGTTATTATTATATTAATATAATTTATATTTTCTTCTTAATTATATATAAAATGTTTATAAGTTTGTGTTATAATTATAAATTATGTTGGAACATTTTTTTCTATACGCGTAAAGTAAAAATTATTAAATGATAAAAAAAAAAGTACAAAATTTTAATCTCCCTACTCGCATATTTGTGCATAATACATTTTTTTCATATAATACCTATATTTTAATATTCCAATATTTTATATTATCTTTTAGAAAATAATATTGCGTCAGTCATTATTATTTTTAATATATTTCTTTTTTTCGCGATATATAATGTTTCTAAAATAATACGAAAATAGAAGATAACGAGAGAGAGAAATAGAGAAAGATTATACGATAGGATAGATCGAGATTTAGGTTTCTGAAGAGGTAATCATCATCATCATCATCATCTAACAGTACGGTTCGTCAGCCTGCCAAGAACGTACCAAAACCTTACGACAATTAGGATAATTATTCCCTTAATTATGTTAAACCCGCATATCTTTCTCTCTCTCTCTCTATATATATATATCTCTCTCTCTTATTTGTTCATCTTGAAACTTTACGTAAGAGGGATGCGTGTAGGAGTCAACGAGGTAGAAACATCGTTATCTATCCGTTTTACGATGAAATTATCTTCCACGATTTATTCGTAAAATCGATTACTTGCTTTGCTTTCGTTATTTTGCATAAACGACGATTTTTTATTATTTTATCTCGAATTGAAAGAATAAAGATACTTCTTAGAAGATAGTTTTCTTACCCAACACACTTTTATTTATTTCCATTCCTATCTTTCATTCTCTCAAACTTTGTTGGTACGTAGGAACAAGGTGGAAAAAGGAGTCGAGTAAAAGTTAGTCGAATACGAACTAGTCCCATGCGAGTTTAGAGAGAGATTAAGAGAGGAAAGAATAAGGGTGAGGAGTTTTGGGTCCTCTCTTACGGTTCGTGGAAGCGACAAATAGCTACGAAGAGAGCCACGTAATTACCATCGTAAATCTGTCCTACTGCTGCTGTCTCTGCAAAAACAAAAAAACATAAAAAACGAATAGAAATAGAGAGATAGATAGATAGATAGATAGATAGATAGAAAGAAAGTGTACTAAGAGTAGGTAAAATATGGTTGAAAAATGGAGAGGTATGTTAGATGATAGTGTGTTTGTATATCTATATGAAAATGTGTATGTCTCTCTTTCTCTCTGTGTGTTTGTATGTGGGTGTGATCAATTTTGCAAGAGAGGAATATCTTTTCTTTCGAAGATGGCACTTTATCGATAATACTTTAAAAGAAAGAAAAGAAAAAGAAAAGAAAAAAGAATTGGGCGGCTGCTCGTAAATTCCTATTATAATTGGCTAGATATCTCTAAGACGTAAGAAATTGTGATTGGTTGAGTTTGCTTGAAAAACTTGGCGCCATCTCCATAAATCGTACGGTTGGTTGAACTGACGTGCAGGAACGAACGATGGCCTCTTTCTTTTCTCGATGGGAGTTGTAGAAACCCCCATGCCTCCCCCTCGATGCTTCCTCCCTCCCTCTCGTGCGTTTCAAATGCAAAAACGAAAAGAGATGGAAGGTGGTAAGGTAAGGAAGCAAGCAACCAACCTGGCAAGCTTCAAACGAAAAAGGATGGATAGATAGATAGATAGGACGAAAAGTGACTAGGAAAAGATAAAGATAGAAAAGAACCGAGAGAAATTTTTGCGGCCGGTGGTACGTGCCACGAACGTGTCGTACGTGTTCACTCTTTATTTGGACACCGAAGGTGAACACACCAACCAGGCAATGCGATGAAACGAGCTTCCGCTTCTATACTCGTGAAAAAAAGAAAAAAATAAAAAGAGAGAGAGAGAGATAGAAAGAATGTCCAAATTTCAAATGCGTATAAGCACCAACGCAAGTGCTATATCATATATTTTTTATCATTTTATTTTATTTTATTTTACAGT